TATAAAATATTAACTCTACGGAGCTTATTAACAACAGACTCCAATGCAAGCAAAAAAGTCACAGATAGAAAAACCAAAATACATTTTATACAGATTTGATTGCACTCAAGACAAGTATATCTTGTAAACTTTTCCCATTTTCGGACTTTTCAAAAACCGCTGGGCCAATTTCAGCCAAACTAAATAAAACTTGCCACAAAGCATCCTTCGGAGACGGGGATTCAAGTTTGTTCAAATGAAGGGACACGCCCTCTTTCAAGGGGAGATAATTAGGAATTAGTGACAATTTGGTGGCATGTTTTAAAAATCTCTTCTGAAGAACAACTGTGCCAGGAAAGATGAAACTTATCGAGAAACATCCTTAGGTAGTGTAGATTCAAGAATAACAAAGCCAGAATTGATTATATTTATATGGAAGCATCTTCAGGTCATGTAGATTCAAGTTTGTTAAAATCATGACCCCCAGGGGTATGGCGGGGCCACAATGTCCGACCAAAATTTTACATAGAAATATATAGGAAAATTCTTTAAAAATCTTAATTTCTCTCAAGAAAAGCAAAGCCATAATTGATCATATTTATATGGAAGCATCCTCAGGTACATGTAGTGTAGGTCTAAGTTTGTTCAAATCATGACTCCCGGGGGTAAGGCGGGGCCACAATGGCCGACCAAAATTTTACATAGAAATATATAGGAAAATTCTTTAAAAATCTTATTCTCAAGAATAACAAAGCCATAATAGATCATATTTATATGGAAGCATCCTCAGGTAATGTAGATTCAAATTTGTACAAATCATGACCCCCAGGGGTTAGGGCGGGGCCACAATAGCCGATCAAAGTTTTACATAGACGTGTATAGGAATTTTTTTTTTTTAAAATCATCTTCTCAAGAATATATAGCAAAACCATGATTGGTCATGGGACTACTTTGGATTTAAACTTTTCAATAATAAATCAATTTATACTTTTTCCTAGCCACAATGCTTAGGTGAGCGATGTGACCATGGGCCTCTTTGTTGATATTTTGTGCGGGTAGTATAGATTATTTATATATTATGAAGAAACATAAAACGACATTATTGAAGTATATATTATGCAGAAACAAACATGATTATTTTGTATAAAAATGATATATACATATTTATATTTTCTAGACGAAACTGTGATTTATATTAATTTGAACAATTTTAGCAAATAACATTTAACATAAATTTGTTATAATATATTTGTTAAAGTAAAAAGCATTGAACAAGGTACAAGTACATCCATATAGAATACTCTATCGTATTCACATGACTTGAGATCTTACCTTAGGAGTGAATTCTTGAATAAAATGTAAAAATCGGTGACGACTGCTATCCCTTTAGTAGTCGTTTCCGTATATTTATCAAGGCTTTTCCGTCTACACACTGCTCATATAATAAATGGGACGAAGAAAGTGAGTAGTCAGTAAATCACACCTCTTTCACAAATCTTTCGACGCTTGGAACTCAATATCTTCAAGCAAAAGAATATTGACAACCAGCGGTTCCAGGGCTTATATCCCAGAATGCCTTCAAATGCATTGTGATGTCATTGTATTATGACGTCATAAAGACAGATGTTTTGTTAACAGACGCATCATGCTCATGCAGAAAACATGTTTCTTTTCTAAACAAAACAAATAAATTTTACAACTAGCCTTTCCAACATTTAATAATATTTTTATATACTTAAATGTGATGAAGTAATTTTAATTTATGATATACATATATATTTTTTTGCTTTAGTCAACTTTAATTTCTACATTTTGTTATCAAAGTTTTAAAAAATACATTTTATTATTCATTTAATTAGTTTTCTTGTATTATTTTTTTCACTTTTTCCTCTTCAACGTAAGTTAATTTTTGAAATAGTCCGCGTTTCCATGTCGGTATGATACACTGAACTAATGTCAGCTTAACATCTTTTGTAATTTTTGGAGTTATCCCTCAGATACGACGTGCATCATTGCATCATTGAACCGGTAATTGGATTGGGATGGGGGAATACTTCAATAGGAAATGAAGTTAAGATTTTTTCAAAAGTACTCCCCTCCCCCAAACCACAGAAACCTCTCTTGAAACCTGACAAATTCGAAAAAAAAACTTTTAGTATATTTTCCCAGGTGAAACACTGCAATTTTTTATCCTTTCACGTTGTGACAGGATATCAGAGTGCGGCAAACACGAAAAGTACTCCTTGGTCTGTTCTAAATAAAAGATACAAATAATAAGGTTTTCATCCAGTTCAGGCCCAGGAGGTCTATTTACAATGGTTACTTATAAGTAATCATTTGGTTGTGGAAATGGTTCAAGATCATCGGATTCGTAATATTTTAAAATGGTGGTTTTTTTTTAAAAAAAAAAGCAATTGAAAAATAGCTAGCGCACTTTTTTCATCGCATTAAAACTTAGAGATGTAGCTGCAGAATTGTAGCTCTCAGCTTCAGCAACGTACATTGAAGCAACATGTTTCAAACCGCAGGGGGGGGGGTCAAAATTGTATTAAAAAAAAAAATAATAAAAAAAATAAAGTCTGGGAAAAATTCCAGGAAAAGAAGAACAGGAGGAGCATCCTTTCGAAAACTGAGAGAATTGCAAAAAATGTGTGTATCTTTGGGGTAAGTATAAATAGTAAAAGATTAGTGGCATGGATCACATGCACTTGATTCTGTAATAAATTTTTATTCCATGGAAGGTGGAAAGTTTTTTTCCTGGAAATTTGCAATATATTTGTTGACGGGATAAGAGAAATAAATTAACAATCGTTTCATGGAATGCTAAAATAAGCTTTGAGTCGGGCCATTTTTAGTCGGGAGGGCAACCAAACAATTTTTGTGTGTGATTATATAATTATCAATCTAATTTTTTATAGAAACAAATAGTTCAAAAAAATGTGGATAAATATTTTTTTCTTTATCATAATCAAATCTTTATAGTTCTACCTGCACATGATTATTCCGGGGAAATAAAGAAACCTGTGCAGGTTTTAAACAATTGTTCTGACCAATCAGATTTGCTTTAACAAACGTGTTCATTGATGACGCACATGTTTCACGTCCACGTTGGTTACACATGGAGTGAATTATTTTTCATTATAAGTATTGTACTTCAATAGAAAAAAATGGAGTATTTACAACGTTTTTGATTATTTGTTCTTAGTTCCAGATAAAAATTTGCTTTTATTTACTTCAAGATGCTAGCAGATACCACGAACAGGTAAGAGGGAGCTATTTTCCTTTCTTGTAAGCGGCAAGGGGGCGGGAAACTTTTACCCACATACTTTTCACAGTTTGAAAAGCAACACACCACTCTCTAGTTTTATAATAAGGTGCTGTAAAGTCATTCAGAACATGTTTTCAGATGTACATATTTTGGCGAACTTGCAGTGTGTCGGTCACAATGGCATGCATGATACTGTGAGCAAGCAGCCATATTTGGAATGTGGGCACAAAAACTAGTTCACTCGGGCTTGCAGACGGCGTTTTAGAAAATGAACTAATGCATTTTGAAATTCAGATTGCACTTGTTCAAACAAATGTTTTACTCATGTATATTTAAAAACGCATTCATTTTCACACAAGTCAATGTTGGTTTCCTTTTGTATGACCACATGGTCATACTGCCATACATGTATCGAGAAAGTTAGCCTTATAACTTTAGCAATGTGATTAGCTCTTATAATATAAATGATTGTCAGACTTAATTGACTCAGGTTTAATTTGTATATTTAAAAGATTTCTCTCCATGTACTGTGGTCAACAAAATAGGTTTGACTCCTTTTCTTTACATTGTAGTCCTTGGCTGTGTGAGGAAGTCATGTTGGGTCACAACATGAGGAGCAGTTTTCTGGAGTCGGATTTGTCTGATGTGTCGGATATACACAACTTCTCGTACTTAAACAGGTATAGCAATGCAAAAAAATGTGCTGTAAAAGTTTAATATGCAAATGCATACAGGTATGGTGAAAGTATGAAAGTATCTGCTTCACAACCCCCCCCCCCCCCCATTAATAACAAGGTCTGGTCCTAGAAAGTTTATGACGTTTGAATGCCATCAGGGACATAATGTACATATGTCTCTGGTGCTATCAAACTTTGTGTAAGTCATTATTACAGCATGCTGTCAAAACATTACATGATCCAATTCCATGCGACACTTTGTAAAGTGTATTAAAGTATATGTCTTCTAACATTTTCTTGATAGAGAATATTGATAAACGTAAATCTTGATCCCGATTTTAAAAAATGGACATTACCAGTTCAAATTTTCTCAGTCGCGAAAATGTGGGTTAGTTTTTATTTCTAGTCACAAAATCAATTTTTGGGTTGCAAGTGCGACTATTTTAGTGGCAACTTGGAGCACTGCCTCATAACATGCAGATTGAGTTTCTGAATGCTATTTCTCAAATTTTCAAACTTTCAGAAGGGGAAGTTCTCGTATGCTGGTCCCAGGAATCATAAGACTGCCTTATTTCCCATGTTCATGTGTTGTTGTTGCTGTGCTTGGAGTTTTCCCCAATAAAAGATTCTGGTCGTACTTTCTTTATATTTTCAAATGTACTTTATTTTCTGCAGAGTAAAGAAATCCTCACCTACGTCCAGTTCATGCCCGAGTGAGGTGAGCTCAGAATGCAGCGAGAATCTAAACAGTACGTTCTTCAGCGAGAACAGCTCAGATTGTGGGGACGAGATCCCCCTTGACATAGTGGCAGAACTTCAGGAGACCTTGTTTGGAGATATTTCTTCATCTCTTGTCAACATCCTGAATGGTACTGAAGAAGGTATTTAGTTTAGCTGTAAACACAATCCATACCTGTATTTCACTAGTATCAGTAGGGCTGAAACGATTCACCGAAATATCGATATCGTTCGATATAATTGCTCGGTTCAATGTTCGATTCACCATCTCGATTTTCGGTTCGATACTTTTTTTATAATCGGGTTTGGTTAACTCCTTGAAATAGATCGGGTTCGACCTTATTTTAATAGTTTGACACACACGAGGGAGAAAATAGGGACGGTAAAGTTTCAGAGCAGGCTGCCACTGCTATTATTGATACGAATAAAGTGCTCTTAATCAACAGAACCACAAGTAGTCAGAGATGTGCAATTAACAAATTTGGAAATTCGGGCTAGAAAAAATTATAACTACGCATGTAATACATGAAAAGCACAACCGGTATTTTCACTCTTTTGCTATCAATTCCCAACCAGTGAATATTTTCTAGGCAGCATGCTCTTACTGTCAACAAATCTCCATAATTTTCTCCATTTTTGCAGTACTACCTGACTTATTTACTTCCAAAAACGATCTTTTTTTTCATAATCCGAATTTCCTCCATTCCTCCGGTCATTGTAAATACCTGCATATATCTCATTAAATTATTTACGATCACCCAATCAACTGAAAGAACGGTGTATTGTGATTCACATTTAATATATTAATAGTGTATTTAATGATTTAGTATGAAAACAAAATGAATTTAATTTCATGAATGAGCTAGTGCAAAATAATCAGAAAAGTAACATCAAATAATTTTTTAATTCATTTTTATTTTCTTTCATAATCATTAATTTTATATGATTTAATTTTAATAGTGAGAATTATACTTTAATTTTAAAAAGAATGACCTTAGTAGTTAGTACCTTGACTTTTTCAACAACTGATATTTTTTCAACATTAGTTTTATTTTAATATTTGTCCAGGGCAATATTTGGGCTAATAACTTCAGAATCTTACTTGGGGCTAGTAAGTGTAATGCTGCCACTAGCCCGTGGGCTATTACTTGATTTAAATATTTAAATTGCATACCCTTGGTAGTATTTCTCTATTGTATCACTACCTTTTACTTTTTTTTTCTGAACACGTTTTCTTTAAACTTATGAATCCTTTCTTTCTTAAATTGTATCGTATTGAAAAAATTGAATTGTGACACAAGTATTGCAATACGTATCGTATCGTGGAGGGGCCGTATCGTTTCAGCCCTAAGTATCAGTATACAGAGATTATTTATATAAAATTGCTTTTTAAATGATGCTTTTTGATCAAATATTTACAAAGCAAAAAAATGTGTTTAAAAAGTGGACATATTAACTAAGATACAAAGAAAACTGTTTAAGTCACTGTGGAAATGACAGCATTTAATATGAGGTATTATATTTCAGTATATAAAATTAAAAAAAATATGTATATATTTGTAGATACATGTCTTATAGACAGTACTCCATGGACGACTGCAGTAGACACAGTTACATCAATATCAGATCTCTCAACTCCATCAACATCTTCAGCATCAAGTCACAAAAGTTCAACTTCACAAAGTAAAAAAAACTGTGTCAACTTTAAAAATCTCAAATGGTAAGTTCATTGAAAATAAAAAGCTAGACTAGAATAATATGCAAGTTTTGAGATTGCAATTCTCCAATTAGAGACACAAAAAGCAGGGTTCTTGAAATTTATCCACTGTCAGTCATTTGGACAGACTACCATCTGGACTTTGTCAGTCTGGACAGATTTCTGTTGGTCCATGGAGTCAACAGAAGATGACCCTAAATTGGGTTTCTTCAGATCCTTTTTTAGCTATCTATTTGAGCAGATCAAAGGATCTGATTTTAATCAGATTGACAACTCACCTTCAGGGATCGAAGCTAATGGTTGTCCGATTGCCTGGGACAAGTAAATTCTCAGTTCGGGCAAGTGAAACCATCGATGTACTTGTCCAATCGGGCAAGTGGATATTTCTAATAGAAACACTTTTTTTAAAAAACCTTACATTAGTTTATAAACAGAATAAATTGAACACTTGATTTCCACCAAAAACTGGACGTTATTTTATTCCGAATCCATCGGTAGCGTTTCTGGATCATACCTTCATTGAGAAATCAGGTTCGTTATTCTGTTTTCTTTCGTAGTTTACAAAAATACACTTGCCATCTTACAACTTACGTAACATTCTTATTATGAAATAGATATTATAGAACAGTTATTTATTCGCTTACAGAATATAGTGAACACCAGTTATTCTCGGTGCACGATGTATCTTGATTCAAAATATGGCAACTATTTTCTCTTTAAGCTTGACCTCGATGTTTGAAGGGGAAAATTTTAATTACCGGTAAAAAAAATCGTAAGAAAATAATATTCCTGCATTGCTGTGTGTGTTTTCAGGATAGAAAATGTTAGGATATTAAGTGGTTTACATATATTTACAAAATGTAGCAACAAATTAAGTTACAGTAACTGGATTTTCTTCTATAAAAATTTGGGCAATGGACAAGTCAAAATTGTTGTTCACTTGCCCGAAAGACAAATGAATATAAAAGTTAATGTCTATCCCTGAAGTGCTTTGAAAAGTTATGGTCCGTACAGAGGGTCCGTAAAACAAAAAAATCAAATAATGGTCACAAAAGTGACCAAATATCCTCTTTGTTATCTTTTCAGCATTGCTTAATATTTCAAAATCTTTCAACTTTTGCAGACATATGGTATCAAATATATTCCTGTCTCTGGCTCTGGAATGTGATATTTTGATGCTTCTATTGACACAGATTTTCGAAACAAAATGAATTTGGTATAAGAATTCTTAAATGTTTCTAGACTATTTCAGACAAATACATGTAGATCTATGTTTTTATTTTCTAGGAGCACATTACCTGATGATGAAAAAACAACAGTCATTGAGGACCTTAGTCGAGTAATCAGTAATGAATTGGGTCTTCGAGAGCAATTGGAGGTCATACGAATTATAAACCCAACAGCACATGTATCACCAACAGACAAAGAGTTTGTTATAGGTTTGTATATTTACAGACACACAGACTGCTCAAAATGTTTAACATTCTGTACAATTTTATGACAAAGATGTAGAATTACTCAGTTGGTTTTCGGTAGGTCTTTCGTTAAGAGTACATGTATACTGTATAATATCCAAAAGGATGGAAACTTTCAGACTCATTTTTCAAGCTGAATCTGACGGTAATTAATGATTGTCAAGATGAGTTACCAAGGTAATGTTTTTTTTTGAAGTTCTATGATTATACGCCTTGTTACAATGAAACCAATTGAAGTGGTAAAATTTTCATATGAATGAGAATTTTGTGTGTTTCTTTATCAAATGTCAATTACTACTTGATGACATGGCCATTTCTTTAGAAACAAGGAAGGAATAATCTTCAAAATTCTATAGTAGTCTCCCAGGGATCGACACTAACTTTAAAACCATAGTTGTCAGCAGGGCTAGCCATTTCAAATTTCTACTAGCCCTGTTCATGTATTAGTTGTCCAGCAGCCGAAGGCTGGTTGCCGAGTCGCGAAGTGATGAGTGGGGGTAGGTGCGGGAGGGGGTGTCCCCCTCCTGGTGGTGAGGGTACAGGCCACCCCCGGGAAATTTTAAAAATAGAGATGCCAAATCCTGCATTCTGGCTGTATTTTGGGTAAAAATTATATGTCACCCTATGATTGTACCTTAGACAGTTTTCTATTCGAAAAATTCCACATTTATAATCTTTATAATCACCTACAAGTTTTACATTTTGACTTACAACAATAATAAGTATGATGATAAAACATATGATTGAAAATAAATACAGTGGACCTTCAGATATCCGGACGCCAGATATCCGGACGCTTCACCTTCCGGACGATTTTTCTCGGGAACGGATTTTTTCAACGTAATTTTGACTCATTTATCCGGAATTCCGCGTTCCGTATCCGGACGGCTCTTTTTTACTACAAAATGTATTTTTACGTTATAAATTGGTTCATTTATCCGGACGGTAAATTTTAATTTGTACTTCCATTCTTGTCAACATTCACGCCTGAACTGAGTGATAATTGTTATCAAAACACTGGCCGGATTGATTGTTTTTACAAGACGATCACCTGTGACCTGTTATGAATGACTTCTGATTAGTCCACAGATTAAGTATGTTAAGTGGATATGGTCATATATAATATAAGAGAGATCGATACACAAATGAAAATAAACAATTCACTGTGTTGGTAACAGAAAACAATTTTCTATTCAGTTATTTGTTATCTGCGAGATATTTATAATTTTAGTACAGAGCTGGTTTTAAATATTTTTCTATTTATAGACGGGACGACATAGTTTCATAATCTCGTTGTCTACACCATGTGCACACACAATCGGTATTGTAATTTTCATCTGTAGATTGGTGGCAGTTATCATCGAAAAAAAAAAACCTAAAACAATCAAATTTGAATAATTTTAGACAATCAATGATTTCGCTTGGGATGATTACTGCGTGAATTTTTATTATGTCAGATTTAGCGTGGATGAGTGTTCAAATTAAGATTAGATTTGATAAGTACTGAGAGCTCGCTTGGGTGTAATCAAAGCTGCAAATGAGAGAATTCGCTTGGCTATGTTCATCAATTTATAGGAAGTAGAAAGTAAAAACTAAGCTGGGTAATGAAAATTCTGCCCATATAGGCAGCGTTATATCCAATGTTTGTCATTCTGCTCTCCAGCTACAACCATGTCTACACCACCGGCAAAGAGAGCGCGAGTCGGCATTTAGTTTTTAGCTATAAAAATATTTATTTTATTTGAAAAAAGTGTAAAAGTAGTGCTGATGTATACTAAAGATATAGTGTTTAAAAAAATAAATTATTATTTCTATATGATAGCATTTATCTTTCTTTATATATAAAAGAATTACAATACAAATACAGTATACCTGGAAGTGAAATCAATAGAATTCAGATATCCGGACGCTTCACTTATCCGGACAATTTGCCAAGGAACCAAAGCGTCCGGATAAATGAGGCGCCACTGTATAACAATTATCAGGTACCTTGTGTGTAAATTATAATTATTTTTGTTGCTCTGAGTGAGTGTTTGGTAAAATTTACAGTAGTCCTGCAGGGCTAGTTTAAAGGCGTGTTTAGTAGTCCAACCTCAATATTAAGTTGTCCGGGGCCAGCGGGCTACCGTTAGTGTCGAACTCTGAGGACACCCCATTTTTTGCGAGAAGCAACATAACATACACTGAAATAGAGAATATAAAAGTTAGAAGAGAGAGTTAGTGAATCCCTACTTCTGTTAACCATGCATTGCAACCATTTTGTACAGTACATAATTATGAATTTATCATAATAAAAATATTCCTAGATTCTCATCCCCGCCCGCCCTGATTTTATACCCCCGCCTCAAATTTTTTATTTCTGTTTTTCTTCATCTTAATTCTGATCGGGATCGGTATTCATCTACCATTCTACTTTCATTTTAAATCCCGTGAAAGTCGACATGATTTTGATGGCTGAAAAGATGGTAATTGCTGTAATACTTGCGTATATATTTTAAACAAGGGTCATTGGTTGAAAAAGATTGGTGATGATGTGAAGTAAGAGATAATTGAACCTTTACTATGACTTTTATTTGGGTATTGTAGATAAAATTACACCGATGGACCAGGTCAATAAAAAATCTGCAAAATTGAAAAAATAAAAAATATGAAATAAAAGCCGCCCACCCGCCTTGATTTTAAAAAAAAATTGGATGAGAATCTAGCAATTTATTTATCATGGCCTTATTGAGTTACCATAACACATGTATTGGTCGAACATGTGCTATCTCAGTGTTTATATTGATAGCTAATTTGATTTGCTGTTATATCTATCCAATACCAGTTCTACAAGTATTCTTAAGGACCACTTGACCGAGTTTTTCTTTCTAAAGAAATGGGCCTGTCATTGTATGACAATTTGTGTTCTAAATACTGTGGAATCATTTTAATTTGTGGGGGTCAATGTTCGTGGGTAGGCAAAATTATGTTTGTTCGTGGGGACGTAATTTCGTGGGTAACTCATATATACAGAAGATGCAACAAATAAATATGTTTACAAAGTAAATTTTCGTGGGGATGTAAATTTGTGGATAAGGGTGACCAATGAAATCCACAAACATTGGTCTTCCACGAACATTGATGATTCCACAGTATAGCTCAAAACATTGCATTCACATGGAAATTTTTTACCACTTCAGTGCGCTTCATTGGATGATTAAACTTGCATCTATAGATAGACTTGCTTTGAACTTTGGATAATGGAATTGACCACTTGCCCACCAACCAGAAATTGTTGTCCCGGGCATCGGGCAATGCTATTTGTCTAGCCCTGCCTATAGATAACATTTCTCGAGGTGAACTTTGTAACCTTTGATTATCCAAGTTTAGCCAAAGCTCTAGTTAATTTTTTTTTCAGGCAAGCTTCATGATCTCAGATAGCTAATACATGTATGTTTACTTTTGTTTTTATAGATGTATACTCCATAGATGATGAAAAGCTGCAGAAAATTCAGGACTACATAGCTGGACATGCACAGAGCCCTAGTATACCAAACGAGGGCAATTCTAACATCTCACCAAAGAAACACAGTAAACAAAGCAATAAGGTAAAATATAAACTGGAAACTTTAGTTATAAGCAAGACAATTTTAAATTTAAAAATGAAAGAATGCACCAAGGGAGATAATCTGGAAACTTGCATATTGCATGAGAGGAATTTATATTTTACTGAACATTTTTTCTGAACCGTGATACAACTGATAATTTGTGGATTTTTAGATTGTAATACTCTCAATTACTCTAATTCAGAAACAGGTTACACAAGAAAAGAAAGCAAGACAGAAATTTTACAAGCAACGACAACGAAAAGAGTACCGCCAGATGTTGAAAGAGAAACGAAGTGGTCTGTTTGCCAGAGAAGAAGTTCTGTCAGTGTCGGAGATAGAGCCGGGGGATGGGGAGGGAGATATAGACATTCTAGGATAGCAGACCCCATATATCACAGACAGAGCCAGGGTAGGGGAGGATATAGACATTGTAGCATACCCTATATCCTCCAATCCTAAGACTGCCATTATCTTGTGACACAGTGTTCATTTTGAGGAGAATCCTTTCTTTCAGTGACTGATAGCAGTGCTATTTTTTCTGAGATGATAAAATTTAAGTGTACATGTACCAATGTCAGCATTATGTAAGACTCTATTGAGTCATAAGTTTTATACTTTGATTTGATGATTTTAACATTTCTTGGAATTTTTTTGGTCTATCATCCTTCTTGATCAAGTTGATTTGATTGTAATATAAAATGGTTGTTTTATATTACTGCTAGGAAAACTGTCTCAATGTATTTATTTAAGGTCATGAAAGTGCTCTATGATGTACTCAAAGTACTTCACTTGATGAGAGCTAAGTGGGGTAGTGCACTTAAAAGGGGTTCATAAAGTTAAACAAAACTGATATTGATGATTTTTGTATTTAGCATGTA